ATGGGAATAAACGCTCCTGGGTTAATAAGAACCAAGGCAATTCCCAATGGAGAAGGAATCCTCAGGGAAATAGGAGATATGGAAACAGAAACAATCCATCTGCTTCCAATAACTCCCAACAGTCTCAGCCATCCCAGCCAAATTCTAATGGGCAAAGACAAAACGGCAATGGGGGAAATAATTTGCGTCGTCAGGTTGGTCAATTGACTGACCAGATGGGCAAATTAATGGAGGAAATGACAAAGATCAACCAAGTCTTTGCTCTAAATCCTTTTTTAGGGATAGCTCCAATTGCAGAACTACCTGTGCAACAGCAACAACAACAGGTGCCGCAGCAATAATAGCCACTGTGACTAAACAGGCTAGGTTATCAGTAGATGTAATGCCTAACCCTGTTTCCTTTCCAAGTACTAACAGTCAAACAAACAATAGTTGTGTTAGAAAACCTATTGCCTATACCGTCACTTCACTTCCGGGTGAAGGAGGCGCAACATGTTCCTCTGTTTTTTCATTTCAGCCAAAGGCTAAAATAGCCCCAGCAGCCACTAGTTTCCAGGATCCAGACCTGAAAGGGTTAACTGATGAGATGCCGACCACTAGTTCCCGCTTGACAGTTCAAGATATTCCTAAAAAGGATGGGCCTGTGGGTAAGACTGAGCATTCCTCAGTACAGGTAGAAACTACTGCTGTGACCGGTAATGTATGGAAAACAAGTAATATGTTGACACATTCTAAATTCTTATGTGAATTAGAAGAACATGAAGGAAGGTACTACATGTCTGTAGAAATACAGGATTCGTTACCCCAGCCTTTTAAAGGGTTAATAGATACTGGTTCACAAGCCACTATCTTATCCAATACCTACTTCCAGCAGGTAATGGACTTAGCAACGGATAAGCCGAAGCTAAGAGATTTCCCCAATGCTCTGTTGAGTGTAGGAGGAAATGCCCTTCATGTTATTAGCAATACCTGGTTAAAGTTTAAAATAGGTAACAAAACCTTTAGACATCCGGTGATAGTGGTAGATCTCCCCTATGACCGACTGATTCTGGGTATAGACATACTCAGAAGACTTAACACAATTATTGACTGTGTAAATGGAATTGTATGGTCACAAGCTAAGGTTCCCATAACCTATGAGAAATCACATGTTCAATCTGATCGTAACTGCCATATGATAGAAGAAAGACCTGACTCAATTGAGGTACATTTTAGAAATAGTCAGTCACCTGACGTGACTATCCTGCAGGTGAATGATGCAATCGCACCTGTAGATGAACATTCCATAAGAATTGCTCCAGAGAGGATCCAGAATGTCTCTCTGGAAGGTGATGTTTTAACCATTTCTTTCCACAGGGACTATGTTGAATCTGTAGATCTGGCAGGTCATGCTCAATTCCTTGCCAGAATTGAAAGGGTTAATAACAACTTATTCTTTCCTATTCAGATAAATGACTTAGGAAAAAGTAGGAATGCAAAGCTGGACTTACAGAGTGAGAACAGCTATATTAGCAGAAGTCTGTTAAAGCAGATCACTAATCCTAAAATGATCAGGTACGCTTCCCCACATGACAGGTGGATCCAGAATCTGGATGGCGAATCAGAGAGTCACAATGTGATAGCAAAGTGTTTACTATCTATTTCCATAGGAAATAAGACAGTTAAACATTTATTCCTAGTGATAGACGAACCTCGCTATCAGGTTTACGTCGGCAATGATGTCATACATCGCTTTGCCATACACCTTGACCTGATTAATTCCAACTTGTGGACAAGGTTAAAAGGTAATCCTTGTGGATACCTACATGAGGAAAACGCCCTGAAATCAGGACAAATACTACCATATGCGGTAAGTATCCAAGTTCCTGATGACATAACCATTCCATAGGGGACAAGTAATTTTCTTTTACCCATACAGGTCAAGGAAGGTCAGAGATTGGAAAACTCTGATGCCCTAATCTGTTTATCCAACAGGATACAACAATTAGGGATGGTGGTAACACATACACCAATGGTAAGTATTGGTAAGAATCCCACCTATATCATGGTCAACAATGTTACACCTAATAGTGTTACTTTACCAAAAGGAACATTATTAGGTCTAGCATTGGATGCTGAGTACTATACATTTGGTTTCCAAAACCAAATTATAGGCCTCATCCCTGAAGAATACTTAACTGAGGACGAAATTGTCCATCAAATATTCCATTCCTCCCCAGAAGGATTATTTACTATCCTATCTGTATATCTCTTCAACGTCGAAGAAGGCTCGTGTAAAATCGAAGAAGCATCTATCACCTTCGATCATCCGCTCAATGAGCAGGAATCACAAGAGTATCACGACCAAAGAGAAAAGGTAAGTCAACACCGAACTGACCTAACTTCTAGGCTTGAAGAAGCTTATGAGATAGGCCAGCCTGAAATCTTTCCAGGATTTCAGGAAAGGCTTGAAGCGCAAATATCTTTAGCCGACGGTTGCTCCAACGATGCTGAGCGGCAGCAGCTAAAGGAAATCCTTTTGGAATTCCAAGATATTTTTGCCAAAGATTCCTACGACTGTGGGTTAACAAACCTCCACGTAGCCAGAATACAAACTGATCCAAATTTGCCACCTGTATTTATCAAACAGTATAGACTCCCATTAGCGTCATATGATGGTCTACAAGACATCATTCAGAATTTAAAGGAAAGGGGCATTATACGTCCAGTGCACAGTTCGTATAATAAT